CACCCTGACTCCTGCTTTAGCTGCTTCGCTAACTCCTGTGCTGGCTGGTTTGTGAGGGAGTTGGTGGGTTTGTTTAGCTTTCCCCGGCTGCTATCGCGGAGAGGGTTCATTCGGAATCTGCTGCGGCAGCGCTCGGGCTCCGGCCCTCGGCCTGCGGCCCTCGGCCTACGATCGCTCTCGGGCTGCGGCTCTTGGGCTCTCTGAGTCTGACTCCTACTACTCAACACCTGTTGTGCATTGGTCAGTGGGTGGTGAGGAATTGTATCATATTGTATCATATGATTTATTTTCTATTGTTTTAATCATTTAGTAGTAGTAGTACTTGTATATATGAATTTAGATTTAATTAGTTGGTGTTTGGCAGTGTTTGGCAGTGTGTGCACCAAATTCAAGGTCTTTCTCAGCTTCTGATGCTGCACCTGTGTTCCCAACTTCTCACTACAAGCAGTGTTGTGGGGGCTCAGTTTAGAGAGCTAACCCAAAATAACTGAAGGAGTATTTCTTTCCACAGAACATCATGCTCAGCATATAAGTGGGGAGTGGGCCAGAGGGTCACAGGAGGAAAGATCTCAAACAAACCAATACAGAGTCTTCTATTTTGTTTAAGTACACAGGGAGCAAGACTCATTTAAATCATAGAATCATAGAATGTGACTTTGGGTCATACTAGGCAGGTAAACACTGAATTAGAAACGGTATGAATAAAGATACTTCTTTATGAAAAACATTCTCACAAATACAACACAACAAGCAGTGAAAAATACATAAGACTGGATGGGCCACTATTGAGTACCACAGTAACTTCCATTCAGAAGAAGATAGTTTATTGCTGCTTAAAAACATCGAGTTAAGACTTTCAAGAGAGAATCCTTGAGCTCCTGGTTCCTCATGCTGTAGATGAGGGGGTTCACTGCTGGAGGCACCACCGAGTACAGAACTGCCATTACCAGGTCCAAAGATGGGGAGGAGCTGGAGGGAGGTTTCAGGTAGGCAAACATGCAAGTACTGAGAAAGAGGAAGACCACAGACAGGTGAGGAATGCATGTGGAAAAGGCTTTGTACCGTCCCTGCTCAGAGGGGATCCTCAGCACAGCCCTGAAGATCTGCACATAGGACACAACAATGAAAACAAAACACACTAATGCTGAAGAGGCAGTAACCACAATAAGCCCAACCTCCCTGAGGTAGGTAGCTGCACAGGAGAGTTTTAGGATCTGAGGGATTTCACAGAAGAACTGGTCCATGACATTGCCCTGGCAGAGTGGCAGTGAAAATGTATTGGCCGTGTGCAGCACAGCAGTGAGAAACCCAGTGCCCCAGGCAGCTGCTGCCATGTGGGCACAAGCTCTGCTGCCCAGGAGGGTCCCGTAGTGCAGGGGTTGGCAGATGGCAACGTAGCGGTCGTAGGCCATGACTGTGAGAAGACAATATTCCCCTTCAATCAAAAAGAGAAAGAAAAAGACTTGGGCAGCACATCTTGCATAGGAGATGGTACTGGTGTCCCAGAGGGAATTGGCCATGGCTTTGGGGACAGTGGTGGAGATGGAGCCCAGTTCAAAGAGGGAGAGGTTGAGGAGGAAGAAGTACATGGGGGTGTGGAGGCGGTGGTCCCAGGCTATGGCGGTGATGATGAGTCCATTGCCCAGGAGGGCAGCCAGGTAGATGCCCAGGAAGAGCCAGAAGTGCAAGAGCTGCAGCTCCCGTGTGTCTGCGAATGCCAGGAGGAGGAACTCAGTAATAGAGCTGCTGTTGTACATAAGCTATCTCTGGGCATGGGGATCTGTCTAAGGAGAAAAAGACAGTGACAAGGTGCGGTGGATGTCAGAGAGTAAAACCTATTGAGGGAGGTGATTCTCACACTCTACTCAGCTAGTGTGAGAATCCACCTAGAGTACTGTGTCCAGCTCTGAGTTCCTCAACATAAGAAGGATATCAACCAGTTGGAGCGAGTCCAGAGGAAGGTCACGGAGATACTCAGAGGACTGGAGCACCTCTCCTAGGAAGAAAGGCTGAGAAAGTTGTGACTGTTCAGCACAAAGAGAAGGTGGCTCCAGAGACCTTAGAGCAACCTTCCAAAAACTGAAGTGGGCTACAGGATTGCTAGAGGGGGACTCTTCAGAAGGGCATGTAGGAGAAAGGCTGAGAAAGTTGTGACTGTTCAGCACAAAGAGAAGGTGGCTCCAGAGACCTTAGAGCAACCTTCCAAAAACTGAAGTGGGCTACAGGATTGCTAGAGGGGGACTCTTCAGAAGGGCCTGTAGTGACAGGTCAAGGGGTAATGGGTTTAAATTGAAAGCGGGTAGATTTAGATTAGGTAGCACGAAGAAATTCTTCAGGGAGAGCGTGGTGAGGCACCAGAACAGGTTACCCAGGGAAGTTATGGATGCACCATCCCTGGAAGTGTTCAAGGCCAGGCTGGATGAGGCATTGAAGAACCTGGTCTAGTGGAAAGCGTCCCCATCCATGGCAGGGGAGTTGGTACTAGATAGTCTTTAGAGTTCCTTCCAGACTAAACCACTCTTAGATTTTCTGATTCCGTCCTACTTCTAATGGAAACGCCCGAAGCAGCCTGTCCCATTTCATAAAGGCCTTTGACTGGTCCCTTTTGTGAACTGTGATGAGTGATGTCTGAATTGCTCCAAGAAGCAGTGGGCTCTGCTGTGCATTCTGAGGGAGTCAGTTCTGCCTACAACCTTAGAAAAATAGGAAATAGGAGGGATGTTATATGAAATCCGTCCATGGCATGAATCAGCTTTTCAGCCTTGTCACTCGCAATTGAACCAAATGCAGCAAACTGTGGGGCTTCTTTTTTTTTTTTTTTGTTCTAGTGTCCCCACCACAGGGAGTGGTGTTTTTAGGGCAGAAACACTGCACATTTCTGCTACTCTCCAAGAGAAATGTTGTACATCCTGTGAGGCAAAGGGACTGTACCTTCATGCAGAGTGAGGACAGCTGGTCTGTGCATCAGCCCAGGACTCAGCTGCCACAGGCTGTCACCTCTTTGAGAAGAAGGGTGATTGCACCCACATGTTTCCCTGAGAAACAAACTGGACAATGCTGAGAGCAGAGGAGTCCATTCTCCAAGTGCAGATCTCTAAACTTCTCCTACTCCCTCAACCTACCTGAGGAGTATCTCAGCTCTTCTCTCCCAGACAGGGACACAGAGGGCTCATGAGAGCTGCCCACATACAGCCTTCCAGAACCATTTCCATGGCCTTAGTACTGAGGGGTGCCAGGTAACACAGAGATGGAATGGGAGAGCTTTGCCCTTGTGGAAGACAGCCTGCAGCACAGCAGGAACCCCAGGGAAATAGCTGAATGCAGAGTCCTCAAACAGCATTTCCCAGAGCTCTTACCTCAGCTGGAAACAAAGGCAGCATGAAAAGGAGGGGGGAAGTAGAAACATTCATGAAAATTTCTATAGAAGTGTTACAGGGATAAACAGATGTGTACTCAGGCATTTGCCCTCATCAGGGGTCCATATGACAAGGAGGAAAATTATGCCATGAATCCCATGACCTTTGAGGGGAAATCTCTGCTTGGTGGCAGAAGAGATCAGGGGCTTGCTCTAGGGAAGGCGTCTGCAGTGCAGGCGATGCCAGCGGGATGCTTGATAACCCC